GTCCGTCCGCTAGCGTACGCCAAGAGAAAGATCGCACGAGTTAACGTAATCCTAATGTGAATTTTGCAACATTGTTTCCAATCGACACTTTAAACAATGCTCCACTAGAGCAGGTGTAGTTATCTAAATGCACTAGTTCCGAAGTTCCGAAACACGAGTACATTGTCCGCAATCAACACTTTAAACGAGGGACCACCAGAGTGATTGTAGTTATTAAAATCAAGTAGTGCGCAAAGTTCCGAACCGTGATCTGAACCGGTTCCATGTCACCGAACCGACGTAACATCAACAATTATGATCATGGTAGGTTTTATACACAATGCGGGACCGAGTTCCCAAGTTCCACAAAAAAACGCTACACTGTCTCTCTATATCTACTTTCTCTCCTACCCCCTCCCCCCTGTCTACTTTAAAAAATATATATATAATAGTATAAGAACTCGGAACCCGAGCACCAACGGAAGATGTCAATGTAACCACAGCCCTTCTAGTTATTAAAATTTGGTTCCGAAAATTTTGGAACCCGGGTTCCCACAATTCATCAAATAGTTGCAATTCACTATTAAATTGTAGCACCACAGCTGCTCTAGTAAGTACGGCATCATTTTGGAACCGGTTCGGAACTCGGTTTCGGAACCTCGGAACTCAACATAAACCTCAACTGAGGTTATTTTGAAATTGTGCAGAAGCATGGAGGAAGCGCCACAGGTAAGCGACGATCGCACGAGATAGCGACATCCGACTTAATTAATTTTTATTCTGATAAATATATTGATCAATATATAGAAACTATAAAAGTTGGAAATCCAGTTTGAGAAATAAAATGATTGGCCGAGTCTACAGAATCATCCATATTGAAAGTGACCTATGCTATATTGGTTCTACTATCAACAAATTGTCATGGCGTTGGCAAGGACACAAAAATAACTTTCGACGTTGGGTTGAAGGTAAGCATACTCAGATGTCAATCTTTCCTTACTTCAAAGCTCACGGCATTGATAAATTCAAGATCACTCTCGTGAAGGAGTATGAGGTTGTAGATAAACAGCATCTTCAAGCATATGAACAACTTTGGATAGCAAAATTTAGAAAAACAGCAGTAAATAAAAACAATGCGTTTGCGATAGATCAGCTGCGAAAAAAAGAGTATCGAAAAGATAATAAAGAGAAATTCAAGGCCTACAATAAGGAATACTATAAGGCAAACAAGCAACGATGGGATGCAATTTCTAAAGCCCGACTAGCAGCTCGATCCAATTGTGAATGTGGTGGTAAATATTCTGCTGCAAATCACCATGTTCATGTTCGATCGCAGAAGCACAAGCGGTGGCTAGAAGAACAGAGTGCTTAGACTATGATATTTTTTGTGACCCTGGCAAAAAAATTAGAGACTTAGAGATATAGATAATAACAGTGTGTAGATTGTCATGGTGAGCCGATACGCGCTGAGCGTCAATCGCAGAAACGACACATGACAACATGAAGATAATTACATCGTTTCTACATTATCTTAAATATATTTCAGATATATATACCTAGAAATAGAAAATGGACATTCAATACGTTGATACAACTGATGAGGAGCCAGTCGTTATTGATGATAATTATTACAAAGTTTACACTCCAACAATCACACCAATCAACGTGAAGCCATTTACATTCGACACTGATAAGTTGAAGTCTGATGCTAACATTCGAGAGAAGACCTTGAGTTTGGTGATGGCGAATATGAAACAGTCTTCGAAGTGAGGTATTTTTTTTTACAAGAGCTGCAGGCGCTTCAATTCACTTTTGAGGGTTTCCAATCTATCAATCTTATCGGTGCTATCGTTCATAGCTGTAAGCGCTCTGTCGCGATACACACTCTCAATATCACCAGGGAGAAACTCGCGATTGATGAGATTGAGTTGATTTTGAGCTTCTTGAATTCGCTCTTGTTGAGATCCAATCATCTTTTCAATGCGCGTGAGCTCTCCGACAAAGTCAAAGCCGTCAAATCCAGCGATCAGGCGGCTGTATTGTTGATTCCTGAAGCTATCAATGTGATCGTGCATGGCTACTATATTTTAGATTGTATATTCTAGAATATATATTCTGTATATACAGATATTGCTGCATGATCGCTACCATAAATATATTTTCGAGAACCAATCGGGAGTGTAAGGATGTTGATCATCAATCGGACCATGTCGCTTATAGTATCGCTCTCTTCGCTTTGTATCTTTGTGATCATAGTCACGGTACGCTTTTAAACTTGTGCGATCTTGATATTGCTGATAGGGCTCACCATTGGACTTGATTGCTCCAAACGATACAATTCGACCATCACTAAGCAATGCATCGTATTTTTTGCCCTTGCGCTTGGAAACGCGGAACTTATATCCTAGCTCTTGCATGCTTTATATTACACATGTGATTATCCGAGCTGCTTAAATAGTTTGTAGAAATCGTCTTCTTTTCCGTGTTGCAAGTAGTAGAGCCATAGCACGCAATATTGTCCACAGTGCCCGAATTGAGGATCTTGAATGTCAACTTCTTTGTATGAGTAGTCCTTTGGAATCACGCGAGGTCTTGGCAAACCAAGCGGGTCGAAGTAGCGCTTGTGTTTGTTAGAGACGGCGATCCAATGAGTACCACCAATCTTAGGCGTACCCATATTGAGAATGGCATAATCTTTGCTTCTGTCAAGATTCTGCTTGAAATCGATTTGGTCTACTTTGACTCCAAGCGAATTAGCGAGTTTCATGAGTTGATCATCTGTTGTTCGAGATAATGTGATAATTGACTTTGCGGTCATACTCGGTTTCGTAGACACCATGCAATTTTGATTGCTATTATTTTTTTGCTGACGATCTATATCTTGACCAATATAAGCTATCTCATACTATACAATGTCCACCGCAAGCGATATTTCTGCTTTCGAGCACTCCGTCGAACCAGCGCCAGCTGAAACGCTCTTCCGCGACAAGAAATGGACCTACATTCAAGATTCGACTTCGAACACGGGTCAATATGCCGGTCAAATTCAATTCAATCTTTCTACCATCTCTTCGCAAGCTGCGTTTGTCAACTGGCAAGAAGCTGTCATTGAGCTTCCAATCAAGCTACAAATTCTAAATGGTGGCTCTGGAACTCTAACAACTGCGGCAGCGGCTTCGTATGATCAACTCATTCCGAAAGCTGGCGCCTAGCAATTTATTGACTCCGTTCAAGTAGTTGTAGATGGCGTGACTGTTCAAACAAATCAAGTTCACGAAAATGTCAACGCAACGTTCAAGGCACTAACCGAATGGGACTACAACTATTATTTGAAAAATGCATCAACCAGTCTATTCACGCTTGATGAATACGAACAGTTCGCCAACAATGCACCACAAGCTCTCGATAATGTTGCGGCAACTGATTTTATGACATCCACAAGCAATGTTGGCGAATTTGGTCTGGCAAACACAGTCGTGAATAAAGGTGCCCGTGACCGAGCCGCGTTTGCGACAGTCGATCAAAGTGCTGGTAAGCTTGCTTCTACGGTTTTGGGAAGCACTGCTAACCTTCAAGCTGTTTCAAAGCCGCAAGTTTATGCCGCCCCTGCGGGTGCTATTGCTGTCAATGGACCAATTTTGGTGCTCATTACCTCGCATGTGTCAAACTCGCCGATATCTGTGATTACTTTAAAAAGTGCCCGATGCAGAAGAACACACGTGGCTTCATCTACGTAAACTACAATAGCTCCACTACTCAGATTACAACTACTAATGCTGGCGGTGTGCTAACTCCAGCCAAGATTACTTCCATCTACAACAACATGAACTTCGGTAACACCTGCCCTATTCTTTACAACCTCAACTCGGCTAACGGCAATGCATCATACGCTGCAGCAAATGGAACAGGTCTCTCGCTTCCAGCTTCAATCTGCACCTTGAATATTACTGCAGACGCGAATGGCACGCCGACGCAGGGTACTAACATCACTCCATCACAAGCGTTCTCGCGATTGTTAGTTCCGACGTATAGTCCAAACCCGTCAGCTGACAATGCATTGATCCAGAAGAAAACTTTCCGTTACTTTGAGCGCGTGACAAATAAGTTTACCGTTCTTCAAATCAGTCGTTTACATGGACGGTTTCGAACGGCATCGCTAATCCCAAGAAGCTAATCTTGCAACCTATCATCACCAACCCTGTCTCGAATACGGCTAACTCAACCAACGCGGCCTACGCGGATGTTATTAATCCTTTCCGCAGCCCACTATCAACGATTCCGGCGACAACTTCGCCATTTGCAGCTCTAAAGAATCTCCAAGTGACTGTGGGCAATATTCCAATCTGGAACAATCCAGTCAGCTTTGGTTACGATCATTTCGTTCAGGAAATGTCAAAATCTGGCGTTGATGGTGGCCTCGACGATGTTACAACCGCAGGCCTTCTAAACCAACGATTATGGGAGTCCCTTTACCGATTTGTTGCCGTCGATACTGGTCGCCGCCTTCCAAGCGAAGATGGTGCGCAAAAGTCTATTGTCATTTCGGGCACGTCGAATTGCGACTACGCTCTAACAATTTATTATCATGTCTGGCGTGAAGTCGTTGCACTGCAATGGGCACTGTCTCACAAGGCGCGGTTCAACACTAGGCATCGTTGTCTTCTCAATATATTTTTTTGATCTGCCAAATATAGTATCCAGAAACAATGAACGGGTTCTTCACTGATAACCAAACTAAGCAAAAAGCTTACGACCGCTATTACAATGCAATGGCCAAGAGTGATTTTGTCCAAGGCCACAGCAAGTGAACTGAATACTCCGGTTCCACCCAATTTTTGATATCGTTTGTCTGCAACGGCAATTGTAAGATAGTCATTTGATCCGAGGAAGAATGAGCTGTTGAAGATTGGACTATTCGTCGTTGGCGGCAAAGAAGACATTTTGATTACTTTTATATAAGAACGAAGAAAGATGCTCAACTTCTATCAATCTATACCAAAGTCAAAGCTCAAGAAATACCCAAAGAATGAGCACTTTGAGCTTCCATTTCGGATGTGCATTGCTAGCCCATCTGGTAGCGGAAAGAGTAACACTGTACTATATATCATCGCGTTGTTGAGCAAATGCTTCACGAAGATCGTCATCTGTACGAAGACAAATGAGACACTATATGATCATCTCAAGGACACCATAGACAACGTAGAGGTGATCGAAGAAGGTATGGTTCCAGCAATGGGCGAGTATGACTCCGAGACAAGCAAACTCGTTATATTCGATGACTTGGTTCTAGAGCCAAAGAAGACTCAAGCTCAAATCGGTCAATACTTCATCAGAAGCCGAAAAAAGAAAGGAGTATGATCTACATCAGTCAAAGCTACTTCGGTATTCCAAAGACGATTCGCATCAACAGTCAGTATGTCGTTCTTGGTCGAAACTTGACCCAGCGTGACCTCGCAATTATTTGCCGTGACTTTCCAAGTGATATGCCAGTCAAAGAATTCATTGATCTCTACAAGCGAATCACAAGCGAAAAAATGTCAACCATGATGATGGACATCATCGAAAGAAAGATTTATCAAAACGTCATCGAATATATTTGCGAAATGTAATTATATCGTTGAATCACTTTTTTTCAATCGCATCAACAGACGAATGCATACATTCCCATCGACGATCTGGAGGGGGCGCATGTCTTGATCAAAGAAGCTCAATGTGATCTCGTTATTCGTTCCCTGCATTGGACAATACGCAATACCTTGACCTTGCGACGTGGTGATGAGTCTACCATATTCTACTCCTGCTGCCGTGAATGTGTGGAGCACCTGATTGTTGCTTGCAATTGGGTTGTAGAGATTAGACAAGCCAACAATAACTGCTGCTACAGGATCGAGCATTGGCGTTACGTTGCTATTCACAGCGTAAACGCTCGTGATTTGAGCAGCTGGATACGTGGCATTCGATAACCCCACAATCGAACCAAAGCCAGAATTATCGATCATTAGTTGTCGGGTGTATGCTGTTACGGGCATTGTGGGAAAGCCACTTGCCGCAGTATAGCCAGTAACATTCTTCACGGGCTGCGTCGTGAATTGAATTGCGTAAGATGACACATTCTCCGCGCAGGATATGAAGTAGTAATATTCACCGGTGGTGTTGTTGGTTAAATACAAGTTGTTTTGGATACTCCAATACTGCAGGTAGTTGTTGATATCACTTGCTGTATAAGTGCCATCTGGCAACGTGATCGAATACGTTGTTGTTGTTGCCGCTGTCGGCCAAATGATTTTAAATGAGTTGTTTTGGCGTTGGGCAGTGATTGCCTTCCACGAATAGTTAATGCTGATTGAGCCAAGTGCGCATTCGAACTGACTGAAATCAATTGGCTGACTGAATCGATATCTGAACTGATGCTGAGCAACTTGATTGTTCACGTTCAACAAAACTGGAAATGACATTTTGATTTGCTTATATATAAGTAACTAAATCAAAATGCATCGTAGGAAAAGAATTCGTCGGGCGAATATGCCACAGCCGATGGATATTGACGGCGATGGCATAACATCTGGAACAGTGAAACCACTCGGACCAACCAAAACTGACCATGGTTCTACTAACATCGAAACGCTCACCAAGCAATTGGAGAAAGTTAACGTTTCTCAGCTCGCGAAAGAGCAGAAAAAGAAGAAGAAGCCGAAATACATCGACACAAGCAAGTTGCTTACATTCAAGCGCGACTCTAAGAGAGCTTCATCAGACGCTTGAATTGAGTGTAATAGTTCGTTGAGAAAACTCCCTTCTCATACAGCTTGTCAAGAAGCTGCTTCATCTCCTTTTTTATGCCTGGATTATCATCGCCAATAGCCGTAGCTCCTTGTAGCATCTTTAGGCGCTTTACAACACCATCGAGTTGCTCATTGTACGCCGAATCAAATTCTCGTGACTTGATATGACATTTGCTCAAGCAATATCTCATAAAGTCTTGCTCAGGCTCGTCGAGAAGGCTGAAGAGATGCTTGTCGAAGCTCTTCTCATCTTCAATCAGGTGCCATAAATCAACGAACGCATGAGAGACGAGCATAGTCTTCAGATTTACATGTGTTTTTCCGCTTCGTAGACGCGCGTGCAATCCATTGAAATTCATAACATGTGGACCCCGTTTGGACGTCATTTGGATGTGATTTGCTTTTTATATTGAGTGGATTCATATTACTTCTCGAATATTTCAATTTCAAGTGATTTATCACTGCCTGTTGGAGTGAAATCTCCATGGAATATGCGTTCCCTACGTGCTTTAGAGCATGTTTGCGGCTTAGCAGGTGATGGAGGTTGAGGCGTTGGCTCATATGAGAAGTCAGGAGCTTCCTCGCTAACCTCTGGTGCTGTGGATCTGTTTGCAATCTTGTTGTAGCTCGTGTTGGCAGCAAACGTGCTATGGAGTAGCTTAGCGTGAAGGTCATGTTTCTCTCGATTAGTTAGCTTCGCATACGTTGGTGATTGGATCAGATGTGATTCAACAATGTGACGGATCATGTTCATGCTCATCGGCTTTCCATTGTATTTTACGAAAAGCTTTGAGAGAGTTGAACTGAATCCATTATTACTATCGTATTCGCCTGGACTATTGTTGTAAACGCGCCAAAGAAGTTTTGTTGGTGTTTGTCCAAGAGAATTGATTAAGAAGTGAAGAAATTGTGCAATGAGGTTGATCGTGGATCCGTCTAGGTCAATAACTTGCGCACCCATCAGGCGAACGTTCTTGAAGTTGTTCAAATGTAGCTTTGTCCCTTGAAGATAGTTACCCGCGTCGACGGGTCGCAAATATACCGTTGGCCATACGAGACGCAGCGGATAATGGACGTTGAGATATAGAGTGACATAGTCAAAGACAAGCCGTAGATATGCAAGGCTCTTCGCCTTGGTAAGTTTACTGAGCTCGTTGTTGGAAAGAAAGACCTCACCGTATGTATCCATAAGGATCTTCTTGACTTTCTGCGGAACAGACATCAGTTCCTCGTAGCTAATATATTTCTTCTCTTCTTCAGGAGTCAGCTCATTATCCAATTTCTCCGACTTGTTCTGCTTGCTAAGTACCTTTCTTACAGCATTATAGTATCCAAATGCATCGCGGAAGCGATTCTTGACCATCTTACAGAGCGCGTTTAGAGTGAGGATCAGACTCTCCTTGCTCTTGTAGAGACGCATCAATTCAGCAATCATATCAGAGTTCTGAACGCCATACACTTTCTGAAGATTTGCATCGTCGTACTTGTTGGGATATTGAATGCGAGCAATGAATTCTTTAGGATCCTATTGCATAGTCTCCTTCCCCGATTTATATAATCTGAGAAGTTGTCTCACATACAGTTCCATGGTGGCTTTGGAGAGCTTGTCATTGCTCATTTCGAGATCGCGAATAATTATTTGTTTTAGTTCATCTAGATTTTGGTTTTTGGATTTAAGCTTTGACAATTTTATTTTGTGCTTATATATAAAGATGTATAAAGAGTTCCGTGTCAACCTTAGCCACGCGCAGGCCTTAAAGGTTCTGCATGGAAAACCTGTTCGATTAACGCATGCACAGCTTAATGCTGGTCATGCTCACTATTTTGGTCCAGAGACTTACAAGAAGCTTGTGAAAGCGTATGAATCTGGCAAAGGAACGACTCTCCACATGACGCATGGAGAAGTATTACGCACACATCAATCTGGACTAGATGGAAGTGGCTTTTGGGTAAACCTTTGGGAAGGAATCAAGTCTGTTGGAAAGAATGCATGGAGTTTCTTAAAAAAAAGTAATTGGAAGCCAATTGCTGGCTCTGTAATGGATACTGTTGCTGATATCACTGCTCCTGAGACTGGTGGATTTAGTCAAGAGATCCGAAAGGGAATTAAGCAAGTGACTGGAGTTGGCATGGCCGATCCACTTCGCGTTCGCCGCATGAAGGGAGGAAGCTTCAGACTGGGTTGAAATCATTTGGAAAGAAGAACCCATACGGAGTGGCTCCATTTTCCTTGTATCGCTTGAATGTGTTACGCTTGTCCAACTTCGAAATCTTCTCACAAAATTTCAATCGCTTATCAGGGACTTCACCAGCTGTCTCGCACCACCTTTGATAGTGCTGATACATAATATCTCTCTCCACGCGATATAGGCCTTGCGATTCAGTGTGTACGATTCCATTTAAGCCCGATTCCTTAAGTTCATTGACATAGTTGACAATGCCCTCATTGCTAGCAGTTGTCATTGAATCATAGATAGGCGTTCGGAAGAAGGATTTTGGCTTGGGGTTGGCAAACTGCTTCAAATATGTGTAGAATTTGTTCACCTCATTCTCATTCTTGATCACATCATCAATCAGCTTGCCATAATAGACCTTGTTGTGCTGTTCCGCTGGATTTACATCGAAAATTGTAATCTTGTCTTCGACGATGCCAATCAAGTTGTTGGAAGCGCCAATAAATTCAGTGATGTTGCCATGAACTTCTTCTTCATGGTAGAGTTTTCGACTAGATTGCACGGAATCGGTGATTGCAGACTTCATTCGCTCAAGACAATTACGAAACGAGCGCTTATCACCAGCAATTTCCTCAAACCAGCACAATTTTTTATGTCGAAGTTGTGGCGATCCACGCTCTCCAAAGACATTGGTAAGATGCTGAGTCATGTGAGTATTTGCCGTTCCAAGAAGACTCGTAAGGAGCTTGAAGAAGTTCGACTTGCCAATCTGTTTCTCCATTGAATACAACACGAGCATAACCTTCGTCTTGCTATCTGGATAGTGGCAAAGGCTACCGATATACTCCATCAACCACTGGTACCTCTCAGGATGATTGAAGCAAATGATACGCTTCAGATAGTCGACTAGCACTGGGTGCAAGTCAGATTCGGTAACTTCTTCGTGAAGATCCTTTGCCAGTAGTGGATTTGCTAAGCTGAATGTCTCCATATCATTTGGATCATGTTCCCATTTGCAGACAGTATTTGCAAACTTGTGGAATGGAACCGTATTGAGAAGGTCAGACAGCTTGGTGAAACGTGGCTTCTTGTGTTCAATGAACTGGATTTGCACCTTGAAGAAGTTCTTTGGATCATACGCCTTGATCACAGAATTATCGTCCTCTGTTGGCTTACGCTTGTAGTAGGTGATATCAGATCCTTCAAAGACGTAGAACTCGTGGATGAAGTAGAGTACAAATCGTTTCAGCAAATGAAGAGACTCAAAGCTGGTAGTTTTCAACATCTTCTCGAAAGTACTGAAATTTAAATCAAAGTCACGATTTGGCTTGTTCTCGATCACTAGATACTTCTCCGCCCACTATTCAAGCTCATCGATCTCAAATGATGTATCAACCATGGCTGAACGCATGTCATAAATTGTTTGACCAGTTAATTCCACCAGCTGAGTTAGTGTTGCCAACTTCCGCTCAGACTTGAATGTCAATTCGAAATCCTGATCAAGTGTAGAAAGCTCAAACGTCTTCGAAGTGGATGTTTTCCTTGGCTCATTGACTTCATATTCATCCTTCCATTGCTTGTATGCAGCGGAATCACAACCAGCAGCAATCCCTTTCAGCTTGCCTTCGTTCAGTGATGGATGATACTTGGAATCAAACCAACCATCGAATTCTTTGGTAGCAAATCCCTTGTTGAAACGCTCTACTTTTTGTTTGAGCACACAGAGATAGGTCTTGCGCATCAAATACCAATCAGAATGAGGTTGACGAGCAAAGAATCCAGCGAGATTCCACACGTTTTGGTTGTTGCAGAACCAATCGCCTCGAATCATCATGCACAATTGATACAATCGCTCATCGTAGGATTTCGTTTCAAGGAAGTATTCCACACCGCATTCAACGTTTGCTTGTTCAAATAATTTACGGTCTTCACTGGACTTAAAGAAGAAGTTATCAAGCATCTCCGATTCATCCAGTTCATTGAATTGATATTGCAAAAGATACGTGTATCCGTCGTTGCCAAAGTCAGGTATGACATCACCACTATGCTTGTAGTCGATTGAATCACCAACTGTGTGCATCTTCGACTTGATCCAATCATTTGGTGACAACACGCGTGAATCACCCAACTTGGGTTGATCGTATTTATCAACAGATTTGGTGTGCTGAATGCAATGCTCACCATAAATTTCTTCAATAGACTTGGTCATCGTTGGTTCATCAACTGCAGGCTCAGCAACTACAGGTTTAGCAGCTACAGGTTCAGCAACTACTG